TTTATGTCAAAGGTTTTGAATTATAGTATAAGGATACAAAATAGATTGGCTAATAAAACTAAGCAGGTTGCACAGTTATTAACTAATTAACTTTTAAAAGCATGGTGTATGCACCCCCTACTATTAGAAAATTGCTTTTTGCTTTAATTAGTTTGAAAAGAAAAATTAAAGCTATTTCCCTTAATAAGTATGATAACCAGAAATAAAAATGTTTCTTAAAAAATGGGCTGACAGATGCATCAAGGTTTTTCTCAAAAAAAATTCTTTTTATGGAGGAAAAGAAAAATTAACTCTGCTCACAGGGTAGGGGCGGAGTTGGGGTGGTTTTGGTAACTACATTCCTTTCCTCTCTCTGAAATTTTATATCCCTATTTTTGAATTGCAAGTTATGTCATCTCAGCCTCTCGGGGGAGCATGGATGCCATTTAACAAATGATTTCTTATTAGCACATCGTTAACAGCACCAATATGGGCAACATGTTTTTGTCTTTTGACTCTCTTGGCAATGCCTTGCAACCCATCAATTGGCCTAAAATACCTTCAAATTAAAAAAAAAATTTTTTTGAATTGATATATTTATTTTACAATTTATTTTGATGTGATTTAGTATCAAAAATTTTTTTTATATATCACAGGGGCGGATCCAGGAATTTTAGAGGGGGGGGGGTGGGTGAATATTACAAAGGTTTCACCAGGAACTCAAGAAAAAAGGGGGTGACTGTTACTAACAATATACTGAGAAATTTGAGCAAAAGGGGGGTCACCTATTTACCACTCCTGGATCTGCCCCTGTATCAATTTTTTGTGCTATTATTTCAGCCTTGTTCAGATTGAGAAAACTGTAGTAATAGCAGTCAATCAAGAGTACCTGGAAACTGGGAAAAGAATAGAGTTGCAGAAGGGAGATACTGTTGCCATTATACCCCCTCTTAGTGGTGGTTAGATTCTTTATTTATAAGGTATGCCATATGTATAAAGGTATATTTATTAAATTATTGATTATCATTAATATTATCTTTATATTTTCTTTGGAATGTTTTTTTTTGGTAAAAATTACAAATAGGATATAACGATGGCATTTCTAAAGAGTATGTCTTCATGTACAGATTCAAATTGGAATTTAGAAGTTGATTTTAGTGGAGAGAGGAAACCAGAGAAAACCCTTGAATCACAGGACAGAACTAACAAGCAACTTTACTCACATAACGACATCAAGTCTGAGTCTCTCTTTTGGTGAGAGGCTAGTGATCTCATTACTACACCACAGTTGCTTAATTGTTTTTGTCATGATTGTTTTCATCATTATTAGTTATCATATTTATCATCATCATCATCATTATGCTTTTAAGTTTGCCAAATTTACTTTAATGCCATGCCATTTTACTTTAATATAAAAATGTAGCTCCATTTAAAGATACTGCCATATATTCATTCTCTACCTACAAATACGAATCATTAGAGGTTTTAATGACGTCCAAGAATAGGTCATATATTGTTTCCCTTAATTCATAGATTAATGTAAATCCTTTGTTGGATTTTAAGTTCAATATTGATTCACAAGAATAAAGAGCTTAAAATTCTTTTCCTCTGTGTGATTTCCAACTCTTTAAAGTGTCAACCTTTTTGCTTAATGGTATAGTGCCTAAAATATGAAACATAAATGCCATGTTCTTAAATCACAAAAAAAATTTTGGTAATTGAAACAAGATATCTCCAAATTGAAGCATTGAGCGAGGTCAAGATAAATATAGTATGTGATCTATGATAGATGGGAATATTAACCCCAGGTTTTACTGATAATTATAGATTGTCACTGCAGGGCATTCTTTATATGCACATATATTTACCGTAAATATAATATGTACGTTGATGTACATTTAGAGAGCAGTATGTGTCAACATGTTCAAGATTACAGAAATCTACCTATTTGGAATGAGGCATTAACATTTTTGAACAGTGTTTCTTTGGAACTCACAGGCAAACTTGGAGGTGTAAATGATAGTTCTAAATTGTGTGAGTGAAGCAAAAAATAGCTGAAGGATGAAGAGGAACTTTATAAAGTTTAATCCTGCTCAAATTTCAAGGTATTTTGCTTAACATGATAATGATGCATGACATGCTTTTATAACTCTAGTTTTTCAAACAAAAACCTGAATAATAATATAAAAAGTTGAGTAATGTCATTTGTTTTACTGAGTGCAAGAAAACAGAAAAAATGATGTCTACAAAACTTTGTGGCTTAGATGACGATTTTCATACTTGACTTTTGCTTTACCTCTCCGCATCATACATCCATTTAGACTGCATTATGATTTCAATCTATTGAAGGTTGATTTCCACAAAATATACAAAATGTCAAAATGATTAAATATTATACCATCTGTTTTTAAATTTGATCTGACAATTCCTCTCTTTGTGCTTGACCTGGTATGAATAAAACTACCACAATGCATGCCAGCTGTATCTTAATGAAATAAAATAATTGCCTAACTATCATGGCATCAAAATTTGGTAAATCCTAAAAGAATTCTAACAACTCTGTTCCATGCCATTGCCTTAATAATTCATTATTGTCACATTATAAAATGTAATTTAAGTACCTTATGAAGTCCTATACTTAAACATTAATTTGTACTAATATTGATAAAAGATGTCAAGATGTTTTGAAAAACAAAAATACTAAGCATCAACATATTGGCCTCATACCCTTATATCCATGATATACTTACTACACACATGTGATTTTATCATAATTGATATATTGGATTTAAAGGTGATATGTTGGTCTTAAGCTGATTTAGGATTAACATGGAATCTTAGGTGACCTAGGCGATGATAATATTCTTACATTTTTCAATAATTACCAAATATTTGCTGAAAGCAAAGCATTGGATTTATGCTATATATTAACATAGTTATGATATTTTTAACCTATGAATTTGAAACAGAATTCCTGTCAGTCATCAGAAAAGTAATTCTAGAATACACTGTTTTCTAGTGACAAGCTATAGCCAGCTTAGTAAGGATATAGCTGTTCTCCGAGGTTAATACTATTTTATCTGTAACATTTCCTTTGACTTTTGCATGAATATACTGTCACAGTTTTGGAAACATAGTCTAGTTCAATATAAAGCTGACATCAATTTAAGGAGAAGAATATTTGTTGAAAAATTTGTGGCTTTCTGCTGCAAAATTTAAAAAATAAGCATATGACTTTAATTTTTGAAACATAAATCAGAGGATTAAAAGATTTCAGAATATAAGGTTACCATGCCTTTAGAAAAGATTTGATGTCTGTTTAGTCCAGCAAATATCATTATAATTTAATGATATATTGGAAGTCATACAGACCACCAAAAAGCTTCATAAGCATTAACCAATACTCAGTTGGGATAATGTTACTCAAATATAACTCAAAACACTATTAATCAATCTTTATCAATAGTCCAAACTCAATATTTTTTTGAGTGTTATAAATTAATATTGGAACCTTGTGCAGAGTAACAGTTAAAAAACAGTTAAACATTTATTATTATTATTGACATTATTATTATTGTTGTTGTTACAATCACCATCATCAACATAATATACAATAAATTTTTATTAGCAATCTTTTGACGCCTGCATGCATATTTCAGTGTTATGTCATCATTTAATTACCATGACAAAATCATTGGAGGTCAGCTATACAGTTATGGCATACTATTAAGGACAACTTCTCGACCAATCAGATGGCATTATGAGCATTATGTTAGAATATTATGCAGTACTAAGTTCTATGTAGAATAACACGTAGAATAAAAAACGAAACTCATCTTGCTAAACTTCAATTTGATCTGTTAATTGGCTGTGTGCAGAATAAGATCACCCAGAGGCTGTGTTTTAAGGCTTTTATATGAAAAAAATAATGAGATTCTTTAAGAATTTTTTTAAAGAATGGAATCATACCCTCTTAAGAAAGAGAACTGTTTTTTCACTTTCATTTGTATGATTTCTCTAGTAAAACAACATTGTTCTAGGAGGCTGAATAATCAAATGATAATTTCCTTAAAGGTGAGATCAGATGAGCATGATGCAATGTGTTTGGAATGCATAAGAACAAAGGTGCTTTTATCACCTGGCATAACTCCACGGTTGCCACATAATACTCAAATTGAAACTGTGAAGAAAAAAAGGCTTTTATGTGCTCTATTCCTATAACAAAAGTGCCTAGATCCTACTTGTATGCTAAGTTGTAAATCAATTAAAAACTTGAAGCCGTAATTTCTCTAAGATGAAGGTATTAGAATTCAAAGAGGATTTGTGTCTCAAGAACTGGACAGTAATCTGTTATGTGACGTTTAATGACCCAATGTAAATAGATTTTCAATGTTCCAGTTCTCTAATGGTTGTTTTGAGATGTTTGACCAGTACGACAAAGTACGACATTTAAGATACTCAATAATGAGCTAATAACTATGAGTAACGTTTTTGGAAAAAATCATTCATTTTGGATAAAGACAAAAAAGAAAAGAATAAAGATTAGGTATTGTAATGATAATCTTCTTAAGTATTTCCAAGGAATTATACTGTAATTATTGTCTTTGTGAACAGTTGATATGGATTTTCTTGATATTGAATTTCATTGTTTACAAATAGGACAATAATAGCACAACAACAAAGAAACAGTCTTATGCACTAAAATATGATAATTCCTAATAAATACTTTCTTAGTTTTCCAAATGACTTTTTGAGATTCTCAAAAGAAAAAAAAAACTCGGTAATGCTGGTAGTGCTTTAGAAAGACAAAGTTAAGTGCTCTATACTCTTATATAGCTATTGGTAGCTTCAGAGGAATAATCCCAAATCAAACACAACATTGCAATTGCTGTCAACTTGTGAACTCAAAGAAGGGAAAATTTACATAAGGCTAAGTACACAAAAATACATTTTATAATAATTACTTTCAATCAAGAACAGAGCCCTAAGAGAATGTTCATTACAATGAAAACACAGTGAAGCCAGGTGCATTGAAAGGTTGGTCATGAAGAAACACAGCAAGAGCCTTATTTAAAAACTGGATTTTCCTGATAAAGTTTGCCAAAATTGTGGAATTTGCATTGGAAAACGTATATTTGAATTTTACCTTTTCCAAAGTCACTGGTAACAACACCATCAAAATACATGGAGAATAAAACAGTGCTCAAATGGATCAATGTTAATAAGCAATGATAATCTAATACAAGAAACGAGAACAGAAAACATCAGATTAATCCATAAATTAACCACAAGAAATATTGTTCCTGAGCTAGCTAGCTGCACCACTTTTAGTGATCCAAACAAGTCCCATGGCCTTAACTGTGTCGCACCTGGACAAAATGCAAGGGTATAATATTCTACTTCCTAAACTTTACTTTAATATATCATGTAGATAGTACAACTATTTTTATGGTTGGATTTGTTTTTGTTCACCCTGAAAGTGATATGAGTAATAATTTCTTTGCCATTTTTAGGTTTGTTACCGTTACCTTAAATAAATTTAACTCTCTAAAAAATACTTCATCTATATTTTAGTAAAATACAGAACTCAATTTAACAAGAAAAATGTTCTTTAATGTTGGTTTACAACAATGTAATGTTTACAACAAAAGTTCTAAGTATTTTACAGAAGAAACATAGTGAGATAGCTACTGAAGTACATGGTATTATAAATGTAGGACTCAGGTGTATTACATGTAACTGTCAAGACTTATTTTTGCATGAGGAAATATTCTTATAGTGTAAATAAACATTTGGAAGAATAACTAGGAATATTTATCATAAATATTTCATTTCATTGACTTTAATTTAAGATTACCAGAATAATAATCGTTGGTTTGGTGTGATGTATTATAACTAAAAGTTACGGCATGACATGAGGATATAGGATAAGATGCCAATGTTTGTACTTTGGCAGATGCTGTTTGCTTGTGTGGAGAAATATTGACAAAAATTCCCTTCAAAACTAGAATATTAATTCACATCATCAAGATAACTAAAGATTTCAAACAAATAATGTTCAGTCTACAAAGTGAACTTAAAATTTAATGAAATTGAACAGTCAGGTTTATTTTCAACTGCTTTTATTAGTTTGGTCTCATTGCATGGAAATGGTTTTAAAATTATTAATATTATGTTTGAAAATTGCTTCCATCTTTTTTGTGTTAACAGTTTACTACGACAATTTAGTTCAGTTGAAAATTCTGTAATAAATAATGTGACATGGCAATATTGAGAATAAATATTAATAATAAAGCATTGCTTTGTTCTTGCAGTAAAACAGAGAGCAACATACAGACAATGGCTGATGACGTCACTGTTATCACCCCAGATCAACTACACATTGAAAAAGTCATGGCCCTTGCAGCTTGTCCATCTGCAGGTGCCATATCTCTTTTTGTAGGTAATGAAATATGATGCTTGCCTGTAGTGTTATATCAATATAATTTTAAGCCATAGGTTTTATGTTTCTAATGTTATGGAAAACTTTAAAATCTGTTTACCCTTGGATTATGGATTAGAACCAGTTCAAACATTTGTGTATCTAGTAGGAATCCTAATCAGAACCAGAAATGCAGGCTAATTATTAGATAATAATAATCATAATGATAATAATTATTATAATTATACTGCTTCTCATTAATCCCATATAGGTAACTGTCCAATTATTTTCTTAATTGGACAGGTCTTGTTGATATGGGATTAATTAGGCAGCTATATAATTAATAGGTAATGGGATTTCATACTCCCCAATCAAGAAATAATTAGACTCGAAAAATTCCTCTGACTGCCAAATTGGACTCATCCAATTTTGTCAGTCCTTGGAATTTCCCTCATCCAATTATTTCTTAATTGGACAGCATGGAGTCCTATTACATATACTTATTAGATATGTGAATCGTTGTTGGACCTTCATTATTACATTGTTGTATTTTTGAAAATATTGAAAAATTTCATATCTGATTAATATTTTGTGTAATATGTGTTCATCATAAGGTTTTTCTCTTATTATCAGGAACCACAAGAGATAATTTTGATGGTAAGTTTAGATAAGTTATGATTCTTATCTCATTTGAAATTTGATATTATCTTCTTTTCTAAATATTTGAAATTTGACTTATTTAATACAATAAAACATTATTAGTTTGCGTGCGTAATGTGAGAGCATGAACCAATAAACAAGTCTAGCCACATAATCGCAGGTCTGTGGATCAAACAAAATCCATTGGCGAGAGGCGCTGTGTATTAGCAACACACGCCACCCATATTTCCAAGCAGTGGTCCTTCATTTTACAATTTTTGACCATCTATTAACTTATATTTTTCCAGGAAAGACAGTTGTGCGACTGGAATATGAAGCATATATACCAATGGCTAGCTCAGAACTGAGAAAAATTTGTAAACAAATTCGAGAAAAGTGGGATATTCACAAAACTGTTATCTACCATAGAGTTGGGTAAGTGAGAAAATAACCCGAAGAATATTATTAATTTATATTGTTGAGTTATAAATATGAAAGCTCTTTGTCTACTTCTGAATTCCTTTTACTAGGAAAACGATAAAACGTTTTTGAACAGATATTCAATAAAAACGATTAATTAAAAAGATTTTCTAATTCAAGTTATATTAGTTTCGACTAAAAAATGTTTTAAATACGATTTTTCTACAACAAAATACTCACCAACTTTAACGTTTCAATGTTCTTTTAGGAGTGAATAACGATGTCGTGAAAAACTAAAAGACTGTCGTTTGGTGGGAATTAGTGGCGGGAAAATGTCGCGGGCGTGATGAAACGTGAAAAAAAAAAAAAAAAAAAAAAAAAAAAAAAGAAAAAAAAAGAAAAAAAAAGCGCGGGAAATGAATGAGAGAATAAAAAAAGAAAAGCTTTGAATAAACCGGATAAATTTGTTCTTTTCTAGATAAATGTTAAAGTAGTTTTCGTTACTATTTATATATGTGTTAAATGTTGATCGAAGAAGGTTTCGTTCATTTTCGCTCGGAATATAGTCAGAGAAAGGCGTCCTTAAGACTGAGGGGCTGGTTCCGTCCAATGGGGCTTGGGCGTCATCATTAAGTTTTTTAAAAAAACGGATAAAAACGGTTCGTTATAGATTAATTTTATTATATTTAGCGCGCCGATGATATGACTCAATACACACTAATTTCATTTGTTCAATTCTTATAACGGAAATATGTTTGTGTGTCATTCTAGTGTGGTTCCTGTCGGAGAGGCCAGTGTTATAATTGCCATTTCGTCCGCTCACAGAAAGGAGTCATTAGAAGCTGTACAGTTTTGCATAGATACCCTAAAGGCGACGGTCCCCATATGGAAAAAGGTGAGAAAAATCAATCGATCTTTTATCAAAAGCGTTTCACTTTTTCACGTGACCCCAAACTACTACCATTGCAATGTGCTTTAGAAGATAATATTGTTATGGTGTAAGAGTGCGTCAGTGGTGACCTAACACTGATATTAATTATAGGAAGTCTATGAAGAAGGCGAAGCGAAGTGGAAAGAAAACAAGGAATGCAGCTGGAGAGAAGTTAAAAGTTCAACTGTCTGACTATGCAACCGATCCAAAAATATACAACGAATGTACTAAACCACATTTTTTAGTTTTGGAGTTTGAATTGTTCGAAAAGATTTTTCGTTTTGTTAATAATTAATAAAAAATGGATGCAAGAACTGGGTTTTGTGCAGTAGTGACTTTTTCTCTTACATGGCGTCAGTTTGAAGCTCGCGAACCCCATTGATAATGTTTTTTCTAGTTGTTTTCCGTCAATAAATACGATTAGAAACAAATGTTGGGTTTCTTATGATATCACGGCTTGTATTAACTTCTTTACTTTACGTTGGTCTAGATTTCGTTCACCTACAATTAGTTTTCCAAAGAAGCACTTATAACAACTAAAGTGTCTTAACTCAAGAGGACATCACAGAGACCGATATCATATAATTTCACAAAGTTATCACTTCAAGCACAACATAATTTGGCGCTTATCCTCGCAGATGAGAGACACCGCATCCATACAATACGACGAAGACAGACTTGACATGAAATTGTTTTTTTTTTTCAGACACCATCCAGATTTCTGAACCCAGAATACACAAATCGTATACCGTAACTAATTCTTGGTCAGCAATAAAACCAGTCTTCATCGATGTCGGTTTTCCAGTATTTCTTTGAAGGGAAAAACAGACACTGATTCTCTCGCAATATGTTCCAGTTTAGCCCTGCTTTTCATTATATTTAAAGTACATAGATATACGAGACTTACAAGTTACTTGCAGGCCTTTGAGGTCAGTAATTCGTGATGTACTGAGATAAGATGAAAGCTGTCTCATCCACTTGTAATTCAGCTTGCTGGAGCCTGAATGGAAAAGTTAATGAGAAAGTTACAGGGACGGCGGAACCGGGGGGGCTGGGGGGG